GTGCCAGTTGGGGGATGCAGCCTCAGGTCCCTGCTGATTGCTTGTTAAGTCTCTTAACTTCTGTTTGGGTGCAGCCATCTTGTGTTACTAAAACCCCCACCTCTGCTGTGGGTGCAGCCATCTTTGTGATGGTCGTTTTGCATATTCCCTCTTCATTAAATAGGATATTTGTATTGATTTCAGAGAGGAAGGGAGAGGGAGAGAGAAACATGCATGATGAGAGAGAATCGTGGATCGGCCGCCTCCTGCCGCCCCAACAGGGACCGAGCCTGCAAACCCCCGGCCTGTGCCGTGACTGGGAGTCGAACCCTGACCTCCTGGTTCATAGGTTGACGCTCAAACCACTGAGCGCACCAGCCGGGCCCCTTGTCTTTGTTTTCATTGGAGACTCGCGGGGAGTTCAGCCCGGAGCTGCGCTCCTCCCCACGAGGCTGCTGGGGTCGGAGGGATGCTCACCCGTTACCGGTTTCTCTCCTCCAGGCATCTGCCCCTCCTCGCCCGTCCCCTCCCCCCGTCACCTCCTCACCAGGGCGGGCCCTCATCACCGCACAGGAGACAGCCAGCCCCTCACACCATGTGTCTGCCCCGGGGAGGGTACGAGCCATCATTCTCTACCGGCTCCGAACAGCCCCACGTTTCACACATACGCCCTGCGTCTCCCTCGCGGAACTGGGCTCACGTGGCTGTTCTGCATTTTCTAAACCTCAGGGGACAGAGGCGCTGGCTGTTTTTTTGTTTTTTTTCCAGAAGCAACGAGGTAAACTCTGGTAAAGGCAGCTTCCCCGGGGCACGTGGAGCCACGGATGGACAGGCCCCCGTCCCTCCACCACTTCCGAGGCAAACTCCAGATTGTTCCGGTCTCTGGCCGCCCGTCCGGGAAGGAGCCGTGTGTTCAGTCGTCCCGGACAGTAAACCCACTAGGTCTCCACAGCAGAGCCCGCCGCCCGGGGCCACGCGGTCCTTACCCGGCCACCCTTCTCTCCGTTGGCGCCCGGAAAGCCAGGAAATCCGATAGAGCCCTGGAAGAGAGGGGGGATGCCTGAGGCCGGGCCAAGCCGAGCTCTGTGTGCGAGCCAGCGGGGGACGCTGTCCCAGTCCCCAGCCTCCAACACACACTCCAGGCCCTGTGAGTCCTGAACTGGCTGAGGCCGGCGCCTCAAGGGCACTGGTGTGCTCAAGGTCACGGTGTTCCCACACCCACTGCTGGGACACGTCTACCGTGGACACAGAGTGAAGCTGGACTGAATCCCAAGTGGCTCACGGGCAGGACATTCCCCGCTTTTCTGACAACTGGGAATGTCAGGTCCTTCGCCCTCCAGATGGCCAAGCCCTGATGCCCAAGCCCGCAACGGGCATCACAAAAGGCAGGGCCAGGCCGGAGGGCAGCCCTGATGGCCAAGCCCGCAACGGGCATCGTGAAAGGCAGGGCCAGGCCGGAGGGCAGCCCTGATGGCCAAGCCGCTGGTCAGCAGCACGCGGGTGAAGGGCCCTCCAGGCCCCCCTGTGGTCAGCCCGCAGCCGGAGGACCTGGCTGGACAGCCAGCGTTGGTGCCAGGCCCACGGCCCTTCTCCTGCATTCTTGGTTTGTTTGGTGTTTTGGTAATCCTCACCTGAGGGTATTTCCCCATTGATTTTTAGAGAGAGTGGAAGGGAGGGAGGATGGGAGAGGAAGCGAGAGAAACATCGATGTGAGAGACACATTGATGAGTTGCCTCCTGCAGGTGGATGAAACCTGCAATCCAGGTGCGTGCCCTTGACTGGGAATCGAACCCGAGACCCGTTGGTGCTTGAGCTGTTGCTCTAACCATTGGGTAATGCTGGCCAGGGCAGTATTTGTGTAAATGTACTGGAAAAACAAACA